AGACCGAACTCCTTTTAACATTTACAGAGACCCAACAGTACCACCATGAGCAAGACCTTGGAGACAGGGGCAAGGAAAAACTGCCTTTAACAGGCAGAAACCTCATATTGATTAACGAGGTTCTGTGTATGAAGTTGTATTTTCGGTCTCTTTTAAATGTTTTTGGGGAGGTTGAGTATTGATTAAGTATTGATCTGTAACAGCTGTCCACTGCTCTCTGTAATAATATGAAACAACAAATAAACTAGAAAACAAACGTGATGAGTGTGTTTGGCTGATGAAGACCATGAGATGAAGCTGAAAGCCAGTTTATTTAGGTCAACAGTCTTACAGGAAATTAATAATCATTTAAAAAAACATCAGACGCTGTTTATTTATTTAGTAACAAATCAAACAAGCTGTTTCCGATCAGTTTCCGATCAATGAGTCGGTACATCCTGTGCTACAGAGCATCCAGTCAGAACACGTCCAGGTTCAGTTTGGGTTTTCCCAGTTTTCCCAGTAAGTCCAGTCCGGTCTGAGCAGCCAGCAGAGACGCCATGTCGTTGCAGCCGGAGTTCACCGCCAAGTCGTACGCCGTCAGACCGCTGGCGTTCCTCCGCCGCACGCCGGCCTTCAGGCTGAAAGTACATGTGATGATGTCATAGTGATATCAGGAGGTCTTTTGTGTGTGTGTGTGTGTGTGTGTTGGTACAGGTGTGTCGTACCTGAGCAGGACTTTAGCGGACTGCAGACCTTCAGAGCCCAAAACTGCAGCTTCATGCAGAGCAGAGTTCTTCATCCTGAGGAGGAGTTCAACTTCATCATGTTAAACCATAATAATGTATATTACATTACATTATATTATATTATATCTCCCTGGAGTTTAATATATATCTTATATATCAAACAGGTGACCGTTGTCATGGTAACAGTGATCAGGTGACAACCTGAGTTTGTAGAAACTGATCCTGTTAAAATAAGAACGAATATTAATTTGTTTGTAATTTCTGCCACTAGAGGGTCTCTCACATCCAAACAGTCAGAACGTTCTCGTTATAATCTCGTCTTACTGTCCCGACTGCTGGTCCACGTCGGCTCCACGCTGCACTAAAACAGGAAGTACATCATGGTGCCCGTTCACCACGGCGACCGCCAGTGCGTGTCTGCCATCGCTGCCGCAGCAGGAAGGATCCGCCCCCTGGTGGTTGATGAGGAAACAAATAGACCGATCAGCATTAGCTACGTCAGGATCCAGACGAGGCAGCTGATTGGCTGCAGAGGTTCGTACCTGATCCAAGAGCTGCTGGATGATGCTGATCTCACCCTGACCCGGACCGAGCTCCTTCAGCAGCTGAACGTCCTTCACCTGGAACCAGGAGGACCAATCAGGCACCAGCAGAACAGTGAACTACACTTTGTAATCAGGTTCAATCCTTACCGGAGGTTTGGGTGTCGGGTTTGGTTTGGGAGGTTTCATCACACCTGTGGACTGATCACTTCCTGTCAGACAAATAATACGTCATCAATAAACTGTGAGAACTCATGAGGCGTCAGTCTATGTTTGTGTCTAACCTACAGTGGTAGCGGACCAATCAGCAGCCTTAAAGAAGTGCTGGCACAGTGTGTCCAGTGGTGCAGATGCAAATATAGATGTGACTATATGTGTAGCTAGTAAGCTAGCATTTTCCTGACATTAGCTCACCAAAATTAAACCTAAATCTAAGATAAATTTAGTAAAAGAAAATAGGGATTATTAGCAGGATTACAGGTCACATACACAGGGCAGAGGTCACATACACAGAGCAGAGGTCACATACACAGGG